TATATTTATTATATTTTTAACTTATATTATTTAATGTTATAAGTTAAAAAAACTCAAAATAAGTTGTACTTTTTCTATTTCAAGATAATTATTACTTAAAAAATAATGATTAATTTAAAAAAATTCAAAATAAAAAATCATAATTATTTTGAGATAAAAAGAAATATATTTCATTATTATCAATGAGTATAAATTTTTGCTTCGGTATTTCTCCATAGTAGAAAACACTAACAATAATAATGGAGCGGGAGGCAGCGCACCAAACTTCTGAAGATGGACCTTTAACGGAATTTATAAAAAGGAGGAATGCTAGCTGCACTCGCCTTTCTCCAGCACTCTCCAACACTCCTTCTTCATCTAAAATAGCCACGTGAATGAACTTTTTTAGTTGGAAACTTTGAATTGCGAGCCAAAGTTTGTTACGTGGACATTTTACATGAGAGAGTATTGGAGAGTGCTGGAGAAAGGCGAGTGCAGTTAGCATTCCTCTATAAAAAATAATGAGGATAGGTATGGTGGACCCATCCTATATCATGGTTTTCCTCGTTTCTAAGCACGAGACAGACATATCTCCTTAGTCCTTACAAACCTAATTTTGACCTTTTCCCTCTTTTATTAATTTAGCATTTAGTGACCATAAAGATACGCTAGTAGTACCTCCACCATGAAATATAACATAAACAAATGCGACAAATTTATGGCAGTAGATTCCCTCTCCTGGTGGGTTTTGAATCTGTTCCTTAACAATTTATTCAAGAAAAAAAATTTTATGGTAGTAGAGATTACTGGGGGAGGTAACATCATATCCATGTGCGTTATGCACAATAAAAGTGGCATCTAAGGCACGGACCAGTGCCTATCTAGTCTAGGTATAACGAGTGAACGACTATGTGAATTCAGTACAAGTTGATTTTTATACCTTTTTTTTTTAACATGAGTTGATTTTTATACCTTACTTGGTCCCTATGTCCAACAATAATTGTTCTATATTGATCAAAATTTTGTTCCAAATTAGCTGGCCGTCGGATGTCGTTTTTATATTTTTAAAGTAGTCTCACTTTTAATAAAACCCTTTATTTCCTTCAGCACCCATTAAAAGACAAATATAAAAAAAGTATAAATTAATTATTATAATAATTCAAAACAAGACAATTAGTGGGGAACAGATAGAATAGTACTTAGATTAGATCTAACTAAGAAAAGCAATTTTTTTTTTTTTCTAACTAAGAAAAGCATTAGTCAAACTAAACCTAGGGATTTCAGCTAGCGTCCTGTTTAAGTTATGTGAATTTTTTGTTGTTTTTTTCCCTTTACGTCCTGTTTTATGGAGCTTGTAACCGAACTAAGCATTGGTTTTAATATATTTCTAATCAGGTCAATAGATCTAAACACTCGTGACATGTTATCAAAAATTCAATGATCAGAAACGAAACTTAAATATGTATGATCAACCAATTGAAAGGAAAAAAGTGAAAGAAATAAGAAGGGAGATGGAAATTATTATAGAGAGGACTTGCCTGCAACTCAGTGGTGACAGGGTACTCATCCATGTCGACGTAGTTCTTGTTGATGGCCGCCATGATGAGCTTATCGCACTCAGGCTCCATCCAGGTGGTGACAAAGGAGGCGAGGTTGAGCCTGGGATTTCCGTCCAGCATCAGCTCGTCGTTTATGATTTGATAGGCTGCTTCCTTGGGGATTGAGTTTTCCGGCATCTTGAACCTCGGAAGCGACGTCCTAACATATCTCGAAGCGAAGGTGGAGTGGATGGAGACGTCGGACTCCGATGCTGTCTTTGAGAGAACCATCTTGTTAATTTTGCTGCAAAAGAGAGACTTAGTCAAGAAGAAAAGGGAAGTAAGATGGATGGGTAATGGATTATGGAGGTCTCATATTTAAATACAAACTCCCCCTCTAAGCTCTTTTGCTTTTTACTATTTAATTTTTGTTTTTTTGTGGTTAATTTGTATATGGAAACTTATTTAATGATGCAGATGGAAACATGAGGGCTATTGCCCAATAATATATCACTAATGCCTTTTTTTTTGGGTATAAACAACATTACCAAACCTAGATGCCTATTTATGGCTTCTTTCAAAGAATATATTCGTTTTTATTTTTTTATTTTTTTTATTTTTTTATTTTTTATTAGTTTAAGAATGAGGCTCTGCTCTCAGGAAGGTTGAAGGTTCCAAGGGTGGTTGCCTCCCTTCTCTGATCGACAGCGGAGTCGGTGATTTCACCTCTGTGCATGCCGGATTAGTATAATAATCAATAGCTCTGGACTCAAACTGAGAAGAGATAACCATCGGATTTTCTCTCTTTCTTTCCTTTACCTTTCCTTTTTCATTATATATTCGTTTTTTTTTTTTTTTGGTCTATTGCAGATGTGTTACAAAGAGGCAATAGCATACTACAGGTTGTATTTTTAATTTATTTTAAAAGCATATTTAAAAATTCATTTTAT